CCGGCCGGTGTGACAGTGATATGCATGGTTATCCCCGCGTTTTGGGCTTCCCCATTCCCAAAACCTTAGTGATATGGGCATCCCCTGTAACCCTAACCCTAACCCATATCGCTAAGGTAATATGAGAAGGGGATGCACATATCACTGCAAGAACACCGGTAAAACAGCTATTTCTGTCTGTGCCGTTATACTGCACTGTCAGAAATATCATGATCTGTCTTGGGATACAAACAACCCGTGCAAATTAATGAGCTCTATGCGACCGGCAAGGTGATTTTACCAAAATAGGTCGAGAAATCGATAACCTAGACGCTTGCAAAGTACACTGACTGCATCCTTTTATCTCTTTCTTTACTCAAAGGTACAAAAAGCCTGATCCATATGATGGAGACCTGGGCTCCAGGAATCCATTCACCGGTTACACGATGCTGAACACGACTGCTCCAAATGACTCATCCGACAGNTGTGCCGTTATACTGCACTGTCAGAAATATCATGATCTGTCTTGGGATACAAACAACCCGTGCAAATTAATGAGCTCTATGCGACCGGCAAGGTGATTTTACCAAAATAGGTCGAGAAATCGATAACCTAGACGCTTGCAAAGTACACTGACTGCATCCTTTTATCTCTTTCTTTACTCAAAGGTACAAAAAGCCTGATCCATATGATGGAGACCTGGGCTCCAGGAATCCATTCACCGGTTACACGATGCTGAACACGACTGCTCCAAATGACTCATCCGACAGCCAATCAGATGGCTTCTTTAACAGAGTATACAGAAAACGCTCTCGGTCCAGCTCCAACCCAGTGGAGGCAAAGAAAATAACCTTCTACGGCGAGGACGTCTAGCTTGATTGTGTAGATTTCAATTTTAAGTGAAGAACAAAATTAAGACGTGAGAAATGAATCTGAAATATAAATTGTGGAAGACAGTAGTTCATTTGCGGAAATTGAAAGCTTAGTCTTTTTAAGTGTACATTTGGTGAAGAAACTGTATCTCAGGAAATGGGGAGTTTTTTCTAGGTAAATCACGACATTCCCGTTTTTCGTTGACGAAAAAGAGAATATCTAGGTGTCATTTTTTGGAGTTGGAAAGGAAATAGATTGCCCCTCCTTTGGAATAAGAGAGAAGACAATGAATTCTTCGTTTGGGCTGTTAATTTTGAGCTAGATAGTTTTTTCTAACATTTGTGAAATAGATTTTTTAGGTTGAATTATTTCACTTTGGTTCATGAAGGAAGTTGGTCCATGATATTCAATTTTTTTATGTTATCTTTTTTCTGAAATGATTTGTCGTTATATATGCTAGAATTAAGAAATGTAACCTACGACGAGAGTAAAGCGCTGTAATATACCTCAAAGACGTTAAAAACAAACAAGTTAGAGTTCCCGTTTACAGCAGAGAAAGTAGTCTGAGCAAACAGGGACGCGACGCCACCAAAGATTGTCGTCATTTTGCTTGGAAGCCAGTGGTGGCGTCTCGAAATTTCGGATGTTTTGTCAAGCTATTATATAGTTTGAGAATATATACGTTAGAAGAATAAGATGTATATTTGCGGTTGCTGATGTATTTACGTAAAATTTGTATCCGCTGGCCTGTCAGGTTGGCGATAGTTTCATTAGTCGCTGTTATTACAGTTGAGCCAGCGGTAAAAAATCCCTTTGTTTATAGACGCATGCAAACGAGGTTAGTCTGTCAATAGAATAGAGCGTTCCACGTGACGTCACGGTCGCCATATCTGGGTTCTAAAACAATGAAACGGCAGCCATGTTCCAACTCAATCGTGTTTTCTTATCTAAAAGCTTTCTTTTGCTCTAATAAATTTGCATTGATGTTGGTCACGTGAGTGAAAACGCCTGTACAGACTAACCTTTGCGCTTTTTTTCCATGGCAAAAGTGCTGGTATCTGTAATAGCAGTTATTTTGTGATTACTTAACGTAGGTTTCGCATTGCCGCGGTTTTGTGATATGCTGAAAAATCTCCCGCCATTTTCTAGTTGTGAGCCAATCAGGACAATTGACAATGGAGATAATATGTAAGCCTTTGCGCCATATATTCTGACGCAACTTTAGTCAACACCGTCAAAATACTCGGGTAGGCTAGACTGCGGCTAAGTCTAAGATTCTGGTTTGAATAACCGGAGCATTAACCTTTTTGCATTGTTTTCATCATTTGTTTAAAATAACTGTTACTTCTTTAAAAAAAAAAAAACAAACAAAACAACAAGAAAAGTAAGAAACTAGTTTAGAAATAAATTAGTGAGTGCCACAAAATGAAATATGTATTTTACTAAATAAAATATAATAAAGTTGAGCAGAAGGTCAATTATGCATTTTGATTTATGTTGAAGAGGAGGTGTGTGAGCAATGAGCAAGACTTTGTACCACATAATTATCTACCACAAGAGTCTGTACTTGTGGATTAAGAACCTACAGGCTAAAACTTGGAAATTGGGCCCCTTTTATATGGAGAAAAGTTATCCCGAGAAGGAGGGTCACCCTCCCAGCCCTGTCAACTTTAGAGATCGTTTATATGAGAAAAAAGTTGTTCCCGCCAAGCAGCAGTAGACAACAGCACTCGCGCATGCTATGATTGTCTCCCCTTGACCGAGGAGGTAAGGCCAAGGTGACTCAGGCTTAGCCTGCGAACAGCAGACGGATTTCCGGAAGTGCCTCTGCTGTTCGCAGGCTAGCTCAGGCTGGGCAATGGAGAGAAGTCGGCCCGGCTATGAGGGTGACCCTACTACTAAAAAAGGGTCACCCAGCTAGGCGGGTAACTCTTCTTGCCGATCCAACCATTTTTTTCTCATGTTAACGGTTCGCCATGTTTTGTGAGGAAATGTAAGAAAAGTTTCGTTCAAGAAGCTTAAGACTGAAATTGTATATCCTGTTTAAGACTCAAAACCCTGAAAAACATACCGTGTTCAGCAGCACATACGTGTTAAGGCCAAATGAGGGAGTACGTACCGTTACTCACTTATTGTTTCTAACGTTTTGTCGAAAATTGATGAAAAGAAAGCCACCGGTCTTGATATGATTCCGAGTAAATTGTTGAAAATGGCTGCTAATATCGTCGCACCCTCTCTTACCTCAATATTCTCAAAGTCTATTCTCACTGGGATATATCCAAACGATTGGAAAACAGCCAAAGTGACTCCACTTTTTAAAAAGGGCATTAAATCGGACCCTAACAACTACAGGCCAATATCTGTAATCCCTATAATTTCGAAAGTTTTTGAAAGAATTGTTTATAATCAACTTTTCCATTATCTAGATGATAATAAATTGCTACTAGGTTGCCAATCAGGGTTCCGTTCTCTACATAGTACGCTCACGGCTTTGCTTGAGGCAACAAATGCTTGGTCAGTAAACATCGACAATGGCCTTCTAAATGGCGTTGTCTTTATTGACCTTACTAAGGCATTCGACACCATTGATCATGAGATCATCTTGCGTAAGATGTCATACTTGGGTGTCGATCAGGCAGCTATAAAATGGTTCTCGTCGTACTTAAGTGGCCGAACCCAAAGATGTAATGTCAGTGGCAAACTATCATCTGCTCGTACCCTCAGTTGCGGCGTGCCGCAGGGTAGCATATTGGGTCCTTTGCTATTTTTAATTTACATTAATGATCTTCCCAACTCCCTGCGGGGCGCCGTACCAAGAATGTTTGCCGATGACACCAACCTTACGTTATCTGCTAAGACGTTAACAGAGCTTAAGCTAGCTCTAACCCCTGAATTAAATAACCTTAGCTGTTGGCTGAAAGCTAACAAGCTCAGTCTAAATGTTGCTAAAACAGAGCTAATGATTATTGGATCAAGACAAAGACTATCTGCCCAATGTGACGATGTAGAAATCAAAATTGATGACCAAATTATCAAGAGAGTCGATCATACCAAATCCTTGGGTCTTACCATAGATGCTCAACTCTCTTGGGGTAAACACGTTGAAGAGATTTGCAAGAAAGTCTCTTCAGCTATAGGCGCCCTAAAACGTGTGCGGCCCTTTATATCCAAAGAAACTGCAATTCAAATTTATAACGCTTTAATTATGCCTCATTTTGATTACTGCAGCCCCGTCTGGGACTGTTTGAGTGGTTACTTGAGTGATAAGCTCCAAAAATTACAGAATCGTGCAGCCAGAGTTATTACTAAATCACCCTTTGATGCGAGCTCAAACCACCTTCTCTCCACCCTCAGCTGGGAGAGGCTATCTCTTCGACGAAAGAAACAAAAAGCCTTAATGATGTATAAAACCATACATGACCTTGCTCCAAAATATCTACAAAGTCTTTTCTCTCAGCGTCACTCTGCTTACAACTTAAGAAACTCTGAGGGAAGGCTGACCCTGTCCAAACCAAACACCAATTATTTGAAACGAAGCTTCTCTTACAGCGGGGCCATGTTATGGAATAACTTACCCAAAAACTTAAAAAACGCTGCATCCGTTGAGCATTTTAAGCGAAATATCAAGAAGGTAGCTGATATATCGGATTCCCACAGGGCAATCATGTAAAGCAGTTGTAATTAGTTTTAGTTTTTAACTTAAGCTTAACTGATGATTTCCCGTGTTTAAATAAAGATTTACATACATACATACATACATACATACATACATACATACAGAACAGAGAGAGGATTATTCTTAGCAAGCTATCGATAGGGCCCCCCTGAGACATTATGTTGCGCTCTTGTTCGTAACTCATCAAAGTGTAGCAAATGCACTATGAAGTTTTTGCTTTATAATTTCCTGCACAGAGGGGTCCCTAACGAAACTCATCATTTTTTCGCTAATTGCCTAGATGAGTACGGTCTCTCCGGTGGACTCCCGAGGAGACCACGGACGGGCTCTGGGGACGAAAAACGTTCTACATACAAGATGCGTGCGCACAAATTTTGAAGGGTAACGCAAGACAGTTCTAATGGCGGCGGGAACTTGCGAAGGTCGTTTATTTACCATGTTTTAGCAACGAGAAAACATCGATCTTTCCGTGATGAATCATTCCAACTCGGCGACTAGTTACAGACCCTCCAGGCCTATGTTATGTCGTTATTACAATACGAATGGATACTGTTTTTATGGCGATCAGTGTCAGTTTGTCCATGCGAAGCCTCCTTCGAACGACGTTCGTACTGGTATGGTTATAAGAAAAACGTTTTTTTATTGTCTCCCATGTATTTGATTTAAAACAAATTCCCTCCTTTGCATGCTTTCCCCTGGTTGCTGCACAACATAATTTGCTTTAAGTTCCCTATGTACGCCAGGTGTCAGTTTGGTCTTTAAAACCAGTCAGCTAAATATCATCCTAGCTGGTTGGAGCTCGTGATTGGGCTTCAGTTCTAACTTTTTTAAAACGTTACATTGCTTTTTTAAATGTAAGGCCACTGCGAGATACTTGTACATCCTTTTTAGTTTGCTTGTTTATTTAATCCAGGCTGCTTCGTGAAGAAAAATGGATCTAGATGTATCATTTTATTTTGTGTGTATTCGTTGGTGATGCGTCCAGATCTGTAATGTTTATTACAGAGTGAATTAAGTTTACAGTTCTCTCCTTCTGTTTTTTTTTTCCTCGGGTGATTCTCTCCTTTAAAGTAAAACAAGTAACCGTTGACAGTGTTCTTTTAATTGTCATTATTTCGAAAAGAGGCAATGAAAGGATTTGCATTTTATTTAAACTTAATGCAGAAATGAATAAAATCTATTGGTAGCATGCATTCATACAGAACTGTACATGTGTTTTCCAGTGACAATCTGTAATTAACGTAAGCTGCAAGCCTGCTGTATTATAGTATAAGCTGAGCTGAGATCTTCTTCAATCTCAATCCAGCTGACTTGAATAAAACCCCGTTTACATGTTATGCCTGTGTTGCGAAAACCCATAAATCTTGAAATACATGTACCAGTTGTATTGAAAATNTTTTTTTTTTCCTCGGGTGATTCTCTCCTTTAAAGTAAAACAAGTAACCGTTGACAGTGTTCTTTTAATTGTCATTATTTCGAAAAGAGGCAATGAAAGGATTTGCATTTTATTTAAACTTAATGCAGAAATGAATAAAATCTATTGGTAGCATGCATTCATACAGAACTGTACATGTGTTTTCCAGTGACAATCTGTAATTAACGTAAGCTGCAAGCCTGCTGTATTATAGTATAAGCTGAGCTGAGATCTTCTTCAATCTCAATCCAGCTGACTTGAATAAAACCCCGTTTACATGTTATGCCTGTGTTGCGAAAACCCATAAATCTTGAAATACATGTACCAGTTGTATTGAAAATTAATTTTTTTGGTGTACTGATGAATTTTACATCTTAACTCTTTAAGCCCCAATAGTGATTCAAATGCAATTTCTCCCAACAATAACACTGTATGATCAAACAGACTGGTGATGAGAATAAATGAAGTGATCACTGGTGATGAACTGTTGTGATGTTAGAACAAATTCTCCCAAGCAGTACCGTAAGGAATGTATGAAGAACAGTGTGGAGAAGATGTGTTGGGGCTTAGAGGGTTAATTGCAAACTCCTTAATGCTTAGCATTGCTCGTTTACTCTCTCAAGGTATTTTCCAGAGGGCCATAGTAGAGACCATGTTAGTTTTCATTTAGATGCAATTGGCCAACATCAGTACTATGTGACTGCTAATGTTATGCCATTCCTTGAATAAGCACATTGGCCATGTTTTTATTTTCCTTTGTTTAGAATTTTTTTAAACAATACTTTGTTATCATTTTGCTTTGTCTACAATGAGTTGAAGACAAAGGAAAATAGAAGTGCTGTGCAAATTTCAAGCACAAGTAATGTTTGAACCACAGCATATACTCTTGCTTATTTCACACAATTACAGCTACAGACAAGAACTTTAATGTTGGAAGCAATAATGCAAGCTCATTTCATAGAAGCTCATCACTGCCAGCATTTAATTCTGCTGTCAACAATGGCCCTCTTGGTTCAAAGGGCTTGCGAGGTGATGGAGGATTCAAGAGCAATGCCTTGGGAACAACAACAAATGATAGCTTTGTTAGTGGAATGGGACAGTTGTCAATATCAACAAATAAGGTACCTATTAAATATTTTGTAACAACTCAGTTTAGCATAATGAAAAATATCATTCATCATGGTTTGTGTATGATAGGGCTTCTTTATCATTGAATGATAAAGTGATTAAATGATTTTGTCCTGCAATAGTTTCTTCGTTCTCAATCACAATGTTTTGAATGCTTTAATTTCTGCAGGTCTTCATCATGCCTAAAATGCACCATTCGCCAATGACCATGTTGCTACAAAAATAGTTATTGATGGCAACATGATAACCCCTTACCAGTGGTCTTTATGAGGGTTTACAATATTTTCAGTACAAAGTCATTTCGATTGAAGTCGTTTTCAATTCAAGCGTATTCAATCAAGTTGTCTGTAGTTTGAAGATTTGAAGAAATATTTTTAGATCCAGAAGGTGACAAGCTATTACAGAAAATTTAAGAACCAGGGACCAATTTATTAAAACTTTTACAAGTGTAAAAAATGTAATTTACAAGTGTAGCTATTGTTTTAGAGTCTGAAGACAATAGCCACACTTGTATATTACACGTGTAAAAGTTTTATTAAATTGACCCGGGAAATAATATCTTCTGAGTCGTCTGTTAAGTCCATGTATATGTCACAAAGAAATTTCCACTGTGGGATTAAAAGATAATGACACAGATACAAGTGTCTGTTGTTGCATGTGCTCCTGGAATTATAACAGAAAACATGGATCAGTACAGTGGTCTTGAGTAAATTTGTTTAGTAGCCTGTGAACGCAGATGTATTTCAGGTCACTGCTTTAATTTGTGCCACCAGAAAAGTACCGTTCGGGTGGAGAGAAGCAATGATTGGAAATACATCTGCATTTGTAGGCTACATAAATAGATGTGTCTAGGAACTCGTACCCACAGATGCAAATGCCATAGCTGAATATTGTGAAATGATATAACTCACTTAAAGTGATTGATATATGGGTACTTGTACATTGAATGATAATTATTGTTACTATTATTGTCTATCTATGCAAAAGGAAATGATTTTTTATTTCTCATTACAGATAGCACCTGGGTCCCTTGGAGGACACGGTTCTCCTATGTCTCCATCCAAGAGGGCATTCACATCATCGTTAGCCCCAGGAGGGCCAGTCTCACCTCTTCATTCTCCTAAACCATCCCTTGGTTCACCCAAACCACAGCACAACCCACTAACATCGCAAGCATTTGAATTTCTGCCTTCTGCTGCTGTGAGTACAGTTAAATTTGTGGAGTTTGTGATCCTGTTCAGCTTCCATTTCTTGTAGCTCTGTTTTTTATATGAACCCATTTTGCTGGATCTTCCTATTCCACAATCAGCAGCTGCTTATTACTGAAAAGTAATATATTTCAACCACTCATCAATGATATTCAAATAACTGTTGAGGCTGCACAGTCTATCTGAAGGCTGTAACTCTGAGGGTGTACATAAATAATTAAAAAATTCTTATTATAATATTTAACGAATATTATAATTTCAAATGCTTGCTGTAACATCAGTGTGTTGTTTACCTATATTTTACTTTAGAACCAGAGCCTGCCACAGGCCCCCCTCCACAGTCAAGCCCAGGCCCCAGGCCCTCAGCAGATGGAATCCATAGGTGGAACAACATATTTTTACACTCAGCAAGCTCAACAACAGCCTGCTGTGGTAACAATTATTCTTTATTCCTGTTTTAGAGTTATTAGGGAGCTTAAACAATAACCATGTTGACAGCTATGAAAACATTACTTGCACTGCTTCAATGTGTTTTGCAATTATTCCGTCTTATTCAGTTTGTAAAATGTTGCCAAATTTTTCTGTTGTTGAATTCTAAAAGACTGTGTCACAGTTCATGAAAAGTAAAAGAAAGTCGTTGTATTGTGTTCACCTCCTGTGACGTAAACAAAAAAGTGTGACACACATGCAGAGTTGTTTTTTTGCCAAGCTAAACCTGTAGTTTTCTTTTTCCGTTCTCACTGCCATCACTACCACCATTGCTTAAGCAAAATACCTCAAATTTAAGTGCTGGCTACAATAGAGTTGACTGCCAAGTTTATGAGTTACAATGTAGAACATTGTTAGTTTCACTCTCCATCTTTCCAAAGGGCTTTTGTCCAAAAAAAATGTCTTTTTTACACCAGTGAACAGGTTAGTAGTAGCAAACTATGAGGGATACAGCTACTATGGGTATTAAATCTTCCTTCCCAGTTTTAGACTTGAGGAAAATAAGGTGTGATCCATGCATGAAAGTAAGTTAATGAAAAAATTCACCATCATTATTAATAAATTTTCATTTTTCTGAATTTTTTTTCTCAGCTATTTCCATCATACCAAGCATATGTATCCGAACCAGCTCATCTTGCTCATCTCCAAAGCAGCCAATCAAGAAACAATGCTTTTTCCATGTCTGGTCAGATCAGGCAGGTTAGGTTTGACTTTTTGTGATTGTTGTCTTGGAGTTAATGGCTCATAGATCAGAGTAATAGTAAATTTTGAACCAATTATTGCAAAACCTACCTCAAGTGAACACTTGTAGATTTTGTAGATGTAATGGCTCAGTGGTTCATTTATTTCAGATCAGAGAATAACATGGGAAGAAAAATATAATATTATTACAATAGATGATTACAAAAATATAATAATTACGGTACAGACTCTAAAATGTGTGTGGTGGTCAAAGCCGCGAAAGCTTTCTAGTTGACCACCAGTGCATTTCGCACATTAACATTAACAAGATTGTGTGTCCTGATTTCAGGAACTGATTCATCAGCATACCCTAAGCATGGCACAGCTTGACCCAGATGATCAAAGTAAGTTAATATCTACTTTACATTTTTAACAATAATGCTACAATGTGTATGATATTCATGAAGAGGAGTCACCTCGAAAGGAAATGAGATCACCATTTAAAGAAGAAGGAGAAGAAAATGATGACAATGATGATTAGGATGGTGGATGATGGTGATGATGACAGTGGTAGCGGTGGTGGTGGTGGTGGTTATGATGACGTTGATGATGATGATGATGATGATGATGATGATGATGATGATGATGATGTTTTTGACGATGATAATGATTTTTTTTTTGAAGAGTGCATTGATGCCACTAAGATTTCAAGTTGCCGGTTAAACACAACAACTAGGTGGGGAGTTAAAACAGCTAGGGATTTTTTTTGGTTTTATTTTTCTTCTGTTTTCCAATAAAAGTTGCCGGGGGCCACTATCATAGCAGCCAGGGGAAATCCCTGGCCCCTGCCTCTTAATGACAGTTCTGACAGTGGCAGACACATAAGTACACTGTATGTCTATGACCGAAAGGTTAAATTTTTCTCGTAAATTGTGTGCTGATATTGAGTTACTTTCATTAAAAGGTGTTCCACAGGAAGTAGATAGCTATCATACTTTGTGCCCTATAGAGCCCTTGGACACTCCAACAGACCAGGTTTGTTACTTATTGTGCTAATTAATAAGTCCATACCTGAAAAAACACTTTAACCACTAAAAGTACAGCTGTTACCTTTATTTTTTGGAAGAATTAAAAACGTTATTTTTAGTTAATCAGTGTTGGGCTACATCTTCCAGTCAAGACTTGTACTTCCTTTCCTGCATCAAGATATTACAGTTCACATTTTTGTTTTGCTTTAGTAGTATCTTAAGTCATATAACAAAATTAAAAGCTGTTTTGTTACTTATCACTTAAGAAAGGTGCCTTGGCCGCTCCCGCACAAGCTCATATCTGGCTCTTGTTGGATTCTGACTCACAAAGTTCTTGTTCATACATGTACATGCTCCATGGATCACAAGAGTAAAACTTAGAGTGCAAATTTGTAAGAGCTACCTAATCAATGAGTGTTTAATTTCTAAATTATTTTTAAAAGTAAACAACCAGTGTAACATTATGTTAGGTTCCTTGTTTCTGATCCTAATGAAGTTGTCTGTAAGGCTGTTGGAAGATTTGTAACGTTTGTTTCTTGAGGTGAACTGTTGGTAGTGAGTGCCATTTTGTCGTTGAACTACTTTGTAACCTTGTTTTTGTTTATTTATTCCTTATGCTCCGAGCTCAATTTTTTTTCTAAGAAACCTTTTTGCAACTTGAATGCATAGATTGGTTGCCAAACATAAAAAATCGCTGGCCAGAAAAAAAGAGAGGGACACTTTGTGCAATATTACATGGAGGCTTTGAAATAATGAAAATGGTCACTTAATAATCACAATGAAATTTGATGGTACATGCAGTGGCATCTCAAAAGCTTTTAACCCTGACAACTGGGGAAAAAGAGACAAATAACTATTATAAAGAAAATAGAACATAAATAATATATGATGCGAATGATTACCTCACTGTAGTGTAAACAAAGACCATGAATGCAACTAATAAAAAATACAGCTTGGCTCTTGACTGCCAAAAACCAGTTTGCCAAATTGGTATCGTTCACAGTAATTTTAGTCACCAAAATATTTTTCTCCTTGCCTTGGCGACCAAAATGGTTGCAGTTTGGAGCACTGACCAGTACTCAGAGAGTTATCGTACTGGCCCTGGTTGTTCAAAAGTTGGATAACATTATCAACCGGATAAATCTCTATCCAGTGGATAGCGCAATTATTGGTTTCCCACATACTATCCGGTGGATAGTGATTTATCCGGTGGATAGCCCTATCCATCTTTTGAACAACGCGGGCCAGGTTGTAAATGTTTTTCTTCCTTTTTTGGTAAAGGCCCAGAGGACATTTGGTTACATGACAACTTGTTACAAAGCCACAAATTCTAAAGATGGGCTTACTTATGTCCTTCGAAGAATTCACTGTAAGTATATTGACAAGAAACTCGTACAGCATTAAATGCAGTAAAGACAGGCGGTTCCACAACTGCTAAAACTTTCATAAACTGGTTCCCTGTGTGACTTAAATATTTTAATTAACCAGTTCATTATGACTTTGTATTATCTGTTTTTTCTTAATGTCATAAACAACATGTGCATGGTTGATATTTTTTTTTTACTTCCCAGAACGGCAAACACGACTTGATTTCTAAACATTTATCCACAGCAGAATCTTTGATTTTTAGGAAATCAGGAATTGCCATCTAGAAACTAAAACAATAGGCCACTTTCGAGTTCCAAAAAACCCTCACTTTCATATTGAGGAGTTTTATTTGCATGAGAATGAAAAATCATTTCCATATCAAAGGCTGAGCACTTAAACTCGTTTTGATTCAGCGGCCTGGGGGAACTCGGAAATGGTCACCTATTGCTTGAAGATCTCATAGTCAATTTGTTTTGAACAAGTTTGTTTCAGACTCATGCTCAACTGTACATAAATTGCAGAAGCAGACAACCTTTTTAAGCATTGATTTAATGGTTTTTTTCCTCTCTTTCAGCTTTTCGACTTGTAAATGCAAAATCCATGGTCCTTGTGGATCAGTGGAAAAAAGTCAGTCATTCAAATCTTGTTAGTCTCCGAGAAGTCTTTACAACAAAGGCATTTGGAGACAACTGTAAGTACGCTAACAAGATGCATTTTTGCTATGTTGTTGTTGTTTTGCAACCAGTGGATGTTTATAAAGAGTTTTGAAGAGTGATAGTTTGGTCGAGATGATTATGCTACATGGCTGTAGCAAGAAAACAGGATATTGATCATTTAATTGAACGACATCTCACCATTTCTGCACTTCAAAAACATGTTGTTTTTTTTAAGCCACGGGAATTTCATCTTTCCCAAACCATCCTTTATCCTTCAAAGTTTAGTAATTTCTAGATCTGTGCTTCTTCAGTTTAACCAAAGTAATATTTCTGATGACTTGCGCTTTGAAAAGAAATTCCTAACTATTCGTCGAAATCTGGACCAACAAGTTAATCTAGCCTTGACAGTTAAAAAAAACCTTGGCTGTTGTCATTATACTTGCAAAAGAACACAACATTTTTAATTCCACCGTTTACACATACTATTTATTTAAAAAAAATACTAGCATCGACATAAAATAAATGATCAGGAATGGTAAATTTCATCGCGGAGTCGCGTTTGCAATTTGCACAAATCCGTTCCATTTACCGAAAAACGGCCGCTATGGCCTGAAACTGGTATCAAAGATGGCTTTGAAGAAATGGAACACGGATTTCCGTTTAGGAAATTCCGTCCACAAAACAGGACTACCTTTTCAGTTGTTCCGCTGCTTCGGCAGATTTTCCGCGGGAACGACCCAAAAAGTCTTGTACCATGATCTTATACTTTCCAAATGGATTTTCCGGAAACTTTTTCAAAATGATAAACAGTTATTATCTCGAAGTTTCACTTGGCAACATCCATTAAGTGTTTAATGTTTCCATTTCACAGCGCTCATATTTGTCTATGACTTCCACCCGGGAGCAGAGACTCTTTTAATGAAGCACTTTTCTGGTCCCGATTCCAATCTTGGTGTTGGCCCCGATGGTTCATTATTATTCCCCTCGACTTCCCGCCCCCTGGGGGTACATAGCAGACATAGACCGGGTCACCGTAGTCCGATGCCTGAGCGACTTATTTGGAGTTATATCATCCAGCTGTCCTCTGCTTTAAGGACAGTTCACGCAGCTGGATTAGCCTGTAGGGTCATTGATCCATCCAAGATCTTATTAATTGGAAATTCAAGGTAAGTTGCCGTATTTTTCGACTAATGGTGTTCAAAAGCGAAGTATTTGTAGTAGAGAAAACCGCCACATGGGTCTGTAATATTAACACACTTCAATCATGGCCGCCTTTTCACTAAGTAACAACATTTATGCGCGCTCTCTCCTTTTTAATAGGGACCTTAAAGGGTCTTTGTCACGGCAGTCCAGTTCATTTTGTTTAATTTTGCCAATTGCTCGCCCGTAATCGCTATGGAACTTAATGTAAGCAAAGAAATTACATGTGAATGACAAAATCAAAGATTCGAGACAAATAGATATGTCTCTTGATCATTATATTTGAAATTGCAAACAGCAGAGATCAACTTTGAAAAACTGTTGGACTGAACAGTTTTCAAAAACCCTAATTTCAATCCGTTTCAATCTTCTTCAGTTTTGCCCATCCGTTGAATCTGTTGTATCTGTTGTGTTATTTTAACCTTCCTTTAATGTTTTAAGTGGTTATTTTTATGTTTCTCTTGATCTAACGGGCATTTTGTAATTACCTAATTTGGCTGAATTTCGTGACACAGCTCCTTTAAGCAGCGACGACGACGACGACAGTGAAAACGTCGCCAAAAAATGAATTTTGCGTTCCTTCAAACTTAATGGCGTCTATTTGGACCCGCTCAACACGTCAAATGCTGGCGACTTTTCATGCCGTCGAATTCTTAAGGATTTTATTCAGGTTCAAAAAGAGGAAGGAGATTCGTCGTCGTATGTCCACGTCGTGCACAAAACGTCAAATTGGGAGGTTTCACGTCGTAGTCGTGGAGTGGACGTCAAAGAAATGTACTAAAGAGCGTGATGCACGTGCAGAGCTGTTGTTTTGATCATTAAACCTATTGGTTTTTTGAAGTTGTCGTTGCGATCGTCGTTGCAGTTGCTTAATCTGCGTAATAAGTCCCGGATGTGAGTCACGGCAAACCCCTCTACAGTACAGTACTTCTAGCCCGCGTGTCGCCCGCGTGGCAGACTCTCAAAGGAAGGCGCGGGGTAAGAGGAAACATTGCGCGAGTGAGGTCGCGTAGTGCATGCGCGATTTGCCCCCTTCTTCATCCTTCCTAAACACGGTGATGAAACTGGACTCGCTCCCTAAATGATATCAACCCCTTCATTATCCACCCAGCCCATGAAAGGTTGTTCACACTACATGTACCACGGTCTACGTGCCCTCCTCTTTACGAACAGCAGTGTAGGTTCTTTTGCGACCCACAAGAATCAGAACGGTGAAAGAGCTGTGAGATTTGGCCTACGGTTTTTCGCCTTTTATTCACTCTTGAATGTCTACGACGTAGGTTAACGTGTTACTTACAAACTACTGACCCTCGAATTAACACCTTACCCTCAACGAAAGCACAGTGTTCATTCTAAGTGCGTAAATTCAAGGTCGGCAGTTATTCGAATAGTGTCAACGTCAGTATGTTGAACACATTTTCCTTCAAATCAACAGCGAAAACGTTTTCGTTTGGACGTATTGCGTGCGAATGAACCATGGAATAAGCCATGGACTGGTTAAGCTCTATAGACAAAAGGGAAATAATACGAAGAAAAATGCTTATTAGAGAATACATCTCACAGCAACAAAGAAAAAGAGGAAAAAAAACAATTCAAACTGCTTTATCCTTTTTATTTTCAGACTCAGAATAAACGGCTGTGGGATATTCGATGTTCTTAGTTTCGATGCTAGTAACAGTCCAAACGCTATGATTCCTCATTTTCAGGTAAATGACTTAAATTTCATTTCTTCTTAAAGTAAAAACTTGACTCTATTTTAATTTTGTTTTTATTTCCAGCCTTTCTTAAAACCGCCCATTAAATACCACTTTTTTCGGTTTCAGCAAGAGGATTTGACATCCCTTGGTAAGCTGATCTTAGCCTTGGCGTGCTACTCCCTCCAGGCCGTTCAGCGGGAGCACATTCAGCAATCATTAGAGTACATGGCGATGAATTACTCAGTTGATCTGAAAAATCTTATCATGTATGTACAGTCTATTCCTTAACCTTACAGGAAGTAGTTTGTAATTACTTTGGTTTTGCATTGGCACGCTCTGTGATTGGCTGAAAAATTTCGCGCCACCTTCTCAACCA